TACCTCATATACAAAAAAATTGACTTCAAGATGAATTAAAGACTTAAATGTAAACTAACTCATTTCAATACTCTTTCTTATGCATAAAAAATTTAATACCTCTTCAATGTGCTATATCCATTTGCTTGTGTTTGTGATTATACTTCTATAGATCCAATCTCAGAAAAATTATTCTGTATTCAATAAAGGCAATAAGATGGATGGATGATTAGTTCCTACCTTCATTTTCCCTGTCTCGAGGTCACTGTCCTATCCTATCTCATGTTCGCTGTCTGAAGACTATTGGTATGTATATTTTATCAAAAATTTCTTAGTTTAGTTAAGCCAAGAATACAAACCTAGTCCCTATTATGCTATGTGTCTGGAATAAGTTCCAGTGTTATAAAAAACATATGAATTCTAATGTGAATGCCAGTCAACAGTAGACTTCACAGGAAATCAGTACAAAAGAGAAAGAGAAACATTTTATAATGATAAAATAATTGATTCATTTAAAAGACAAAACAATTTGAAATGCATATGCTCTTAATAATAAACTTCAAATTATATAAAGTTAAATTTTTATATAGCTAGAAAGAACAGCCAAATTCATAATCTAACGATTTCAAGTGGTTTTATACCAGAGATGCAGGGATGGTTTAACATATACAAGTCATAAATGTGATACATCACATAAACATAATTAAAAACAAAAATTACATGATCATCTCAATAGACACAGAAAAGCATTTGGCAAAATTCAGAATCCCTTTATGATTAAAATCCTCAGCAAATTGGCATAGAAGGGGCCTACTTCAAGGTGATACAAGCCATCTATAACAAACCCACAGTCAATCAACATCATACTGAATAGGGAAAAGTTTAAAACCATTCCCCCTAAGAATATGATGCCTGCTCACCCACATCTATTAATCATAGTTCTGGAAGTCCTAGCCAGAGCAATCAGACAAAAGAAAGAAAGAAAGGGCATCCAAATCAGTAAAGAGGAGGTCAAACTGTCACTGATTTCTAATGATATTATTATATCTAGATAACTCTGAAGACTTATCTAAAGAGCTCCTAGATGTGATAAATTCAGTTAAGTTTCAGGATGCAAAATCAATGTACACAAATCATCAGCACTGCTATATACCAGCAACAACCAAGCTGAGAATCAAATCAACAACTTAATCCCTTTTCCAACAATTGCCATATATATACACACACATATATACGCGTGTATATATATACGTATATGCATATACACGTATATATGTGTGTACATACACGTATATAAGAGTGTGTGTGTATATATATGTATATTTGAGGAACATACAAAGCCAAGGAGGTGAAAGAACTCTTCAAGGAAAACTACAAAAAACTGCTGAAAAATATCATTGACAACAGAAACAAATAGATAACACATCTCATGCTAATGGATGGTAGAATCAATATTGTGAAAGTGACCATACTGTCCAAAGCAATATACAGATTCAATGCAATTGAATCATCAAATACCATCATCATTCTTCACAAAACTAGAAAAACAATCCTAAAATTCATATAGAACCAAAAAAGATCCTGCCTAGCCAAAGCAAGATGAAACAAAAATAATGAATCTGGAGGTGTCACATTACCCAACTTCAAACTATATTAGAAGGCTATCCTTACCAAAACAACATGGTACTTGTATAAAAATAGGTACATAGACCAATGAAACAGAATAGAGAACCCCGAAATGAAACCAACACTTAGCAGCCAACTGATCTTCGACAAAGCAAATAAAAACGTAAAGTTGGAAAGACACCCTATTCAACAAACGGTAATGGAATATTTGGAAAGCCACATAAAGAAGAATGAGACTGAATTCTCATCTCTCATCTTATGCAAAAATCAACTCAAGGTGGATCAAAGACTTAAATCTAAGATCATAAACCATAAAAATTCTACAAGATAACATTGGAAAAACATTCAAAACATTGTCTTGGTTCTTCGTGACCAAGAAACCAAAATCAACACAACAAAAACAAAGATAAATAAATTGAACTTAATTAGACTAAAAAGCTTCTGCAACGCAAAAGAAATAATCAGCAAACAGACAACACATAGAGTAGGAGAAAATCATTGCAATCTATGCATCCGACAAAAACTCATATTTGGAATCCACAAGGAACTTAAACAAAACAGCAAGACAAAAAAAAAATTCTATCAAAAGTGGGCTAAGGACATGAATAGAAAATTCTTAAAAGAAGACATACAAATGGCCAACAAATATTTGAAAAACTGCTCTGCGTTAGTAATTATCGGGGAAATGCAAGTTAAAAAGACAATGAGATATCATCTTATTCTTGCAAGAATGGCCATACTTTAAAATCAAAATATAATAGATATTGACATGGATGTGGTGAAAAGGGAACACTTTTGCATTAATGGTGGGAATGTAAACTAGTATAACCACTGTGGAAAACAGTATGGAGATTCCTTAAAGAACTAAAAGTAGTACCTCCATTTGATCCAGCAATCCCACTACTGGGTATCTACCTAGAGGAAAAGATGTCATTATATGAAGAAGACATGCACATGTGTGTTTACAGCAGCACAGTTTGCAATTGTAAAAATATGGAACCAATCTAAATATCCATCAACCAATGAATAAAGACAATGTGGCATGGAATACTATCCTGGCATAAAAAGAAATAAAATAATAGGCCAGGCCCGGTGGCTTATGCCTGTAATCCCAGCACTTGGGGAGACCAAAGCGGTTGGGTCATCTGAGGTCAAGAGTTCAAGACCAGCCCTGTCAACATGGTGAAACTCCATCTCTACTAAATATACAAAACTTAGCAGGGCATGGTGGCAGGCACATGTGAGACCAGCTACTCGGGAGGCTGAGGCAGGAGAATCACTTGAACCTGGGAGGCAGAGGTTGCAGTGAGCCGAGAACGTGACATTGTGCTCCAGCTTGGACAACAAGAGTGAAACTTTGTCTCCAAAAACAAAAACAAAAAATGAAAAGAAAAATTATGAAATAATGGCATTTGCAGCAACCTGAATGGAGTTGGAGATTATTATTCTAAGTGGAGTAACTCAGGAGTGGAAAATCAAACATTGCATGTTCTCACTTATAAGTGGGGGCTAAGCTATGAGGACACAAAAGCCTAAGAATGATATAATGGACTTCGGGGACTCGAAGGGAAGGGAGGTAAGAGAGTGAAGGAGACTACACATTGTGTACAGTGTACACTGCTTGGGTGATGGGTGCATAAAAATCTGAGAAACCACTACTAAATAACTTACCGTATAACCAAAAACCACCTCTTCCCCTAAAAACTATTAAAATAAAGATAATTTAACACCTTTCCATCACCACTTCATCAAATGAATAAGATATCAGTATGAAAATAGAAGAGTTAAAAAAAACAAATAAATATTCGACATTTATAACCAATTAACAAAATATATATATTTTTCAATTGGCAAATGTTACCAAACATTTAACAAGATACAATATATGATGAGTCATACATCGTCTCAATAAAGTACATTCTCTGATCATAAGCATATTGTTAGAAATAAATAAAAATAAGATACTTAGAAAAACACAAGCTATCTGGGAAAGAAATCATGCACCTCTGTACATTCTGTATCTAATGTTGTTTTAAAAATTCCTTATATTGGGTGTGTGTGTGTGTGTGTGTTATTAGACTTACCACATGTCAAACAAATATATTAATCTTTCACAGAACAAAGTTTTCCTTGTATTTTTCTGTCTTTAATTTCTACTTTTATATTTGCTGTTGCCATTTTCTTCTTCCTTTAGTTTTAATGTAATCTGTTTTTGTAGCTTATTGTGGATGTTTAGATAATTGATTTTGCATTATCTTTTTTAGGATCAATACACAGAACTATAAATATTTTAAATACTACTGTGTTTGTACAAATTGTGGTACATAGTAGTATCATTATTTTTCAGTACGAAAGGTTTTCCAACTTCTCTGTGAATTTTTTCTTTGATTCAAGTACAACTTTAAGAGAATGCCTTGAAGGAACACAATGTCTGCGTCATTTAAGGAAAAAGACAATGATAGAGGAATTAATAGTATAATGTTATAGTTGGGGACTTTTGATACATAGTAATTATTGGTACTCTTAAGTCAACTTTTCTGTAAGTCTGGAATTATGCCAAAATGAAATTTATAAATTAAGCCTTTTACTCTATTACAAAAACACTTAAATCAGGAACTCAAGGATAATACAATTTTAAAAAACTTATGTAAGCATGTTATATTAAAAGATTAAGGACGAAGGATTATACGATTACCTCCACAGTTTCAGAAAAATACACTAAAAATAAATATTTACTGCATATTATGTTTAAAGCAAAACATTAAAAGATATCTTTTATTTTGGAAACCAGGATGCCTGTTATGACTAATTTTAAATGGAAAATTTGAGATGATTTTCAATAAAATAGCAATAAAACTAGGAAGTACATAAAAGAGTGAATATCAAGCAGAAAGAATCTAGATTATTTTGTATTGCAGAAGTCATAATGATATGGTTAAGATAAAAAGAACTAATAAGAATGTATAAAACAGGGTAATTATAAGGTCAGCATTAAACAAATAACATATTTCTTATACATTATCAGAAGAAAAATGAAAATTATATAAGAAATTCATTTTACTATAGGAAATTTATGTCTACATACAAATTACCTAGGAATAAATTAACAATAAATACATTGGAATATAATGTGTTAAAATTTACTTAACTATGTGAAAGAAAAAATTAGCTATGTAAAAGAAAAAAAGAGAATTGCTTTTAATGCATGGTGTAACTCAATATTTAAAGACCTCAATTATTTCCAGTTTCTCTCTGTCTCTCTCTCTCTTTTTTTTTTTTTTTTTTTTTTTTTTTTCAGACAGGGTCTTGCTCTTATCTCCAGGCTGGAGTACAGTGGTGCGATCTCACTGCAACCTCTACCTCCCGGGTTCAAGCGATTCTCCTGCCTCATCCTCCTGAGTAGCTGGGACTACAGGCACACACCACCACATCGAAGTAAGTTTTGTATTTTTAGTAGAGACAGGGTCCCACCATTTGGCCAGGATTGTTTCAAACTTCTGACCCCAAGTGCTCCATCTGCCTCCGCCTCCCAAATTGCTGGGATTACAGGCATGAGCCTCCATGCTCGGCCTTTACTATTAATTCACAGCCATATCGGTCTGTTCTGTTTGGATACTTTTTGAAACCTAATAATTTTTTTCTAAAGTTTCTGTGGAAGACTAGATGGGTGGAAGTGAGAATTACAAAGAAACATTAAAAAAGAGTAAAATGTTTTACCAATTTTAAGGATCCCTGCCTATACTTATAAAAATATGATGTTTATCTAAACATATGATAACCATGTTATTTCAAACCAGATAATAATGATGGAATAGCAAAATTAAATAATGAAAGAGGAAGACGAAATATATGTATTATAGTTAAGATTTTGTTAAATTTGGTCTTTCAAATCAATGATATTATTCAATATACTTTATAGCACACAGATGTAAATGCTGTACTATGCTGAAACAGTTAAGCATTTGTGCCCTCAGTCAAACGATCACAGATCACATCCATCTATGATATGTATATGATAGTGAAAATCCTACCTCACTGAGATAATTACTTGTTGATTTAATTTCTGCTATTTTCTCTTACTAGATTTGTTGCATATATGTTTTTAAATAGAATTCATCTTGCCTGTGTAGTGCATACACATGAGGTGTGCACACACACACGTACACATATGCCATCATCTGTGTGCATAAGCATACTCAGGTACACTTGTTTTGAGTTTATGCTAGCTGTATAAAAGTAACTTCTAGTTTTTCATGTTTTTATTTTGAATCCATTTATATATTAAGGAAATTATGTATTCTTTCTTTTCCTTTCTGAACTATGAATTCTTGGCCCAGGAACTTTATTATAGGAGTTCTTTGATGAAATTTTGATAATCTTCTCATTAATTATTTGTATGGCAAATATTTTAGTATTGATTTCTTCTAAAGTCAGTTTTGATGATTTCAGACCACATATTTTTAAAAATGATTTGAGATTGGCACTTTATTTTATGGTTTATAAGTTTATATTGAATATGTCATTAATGATAATTCCTGTTTTTTCTGCTAAGTTTTCCATATTCTGTTTATATCATTGTACTTTTTGAATAGCTAAATATATTTTTAAAAATATTCTTATGCCATAGAAGAAAAGATCCTAAACACCTTTTGTGTGATTCATATCACTAGTTAGAATAAAGATAAAACAAAGACAATTTTAAATTCTGTTAACTTATGATCAAATATTATTTCTCCACACCAAAATACCAAGTGAATGATGTGAAGTGTAACCCAACCATTGGCTATGTTTCATGTTTTTGTAACACACTTGTTTTCTTCAGCACAGTATTTGCAAAAATTGTGTGCGCAGTCATCAGATACATTTTCTGGGCCTGATTTCCTTCCTGATGTAATTTTATGATCATCCATTTTCCAATTTCCTTTGAAATTCACTCATTTAGTAAGAATTTAGTGAATATATTCTGTGTACACTGCTTCATACTGAAATTGGTGATTTAAAAAGAAGTTAAAATGTATTCTTTATTAATACTTTCTGGGAACATTCATTGTACATGTGCATCAAAGGCATGCACATAGGAAGAATCTGCAACAATTTAATTTACATACAATATGAACTATAAAAATGTGTGATACAGAAAACATGTCAAAAATAACAAGCTAGCCCTACAGGAAGTAAATTAGAAAGACAATGAGAATCTGTACTTGGACTGGACATTGAACAATAAGTAAATTTTAAGAGTCAATGGGAATAGAAAGACAATTGAAAAATTAGGTATATGAAAATAATGTTTTTTGAAAACCTCTTTTCTGTTTTTATTCCAATAAAATGTTAGTATGTTGGTGGAAGATAAATCTAAGAGATTACCATAGAATAGTAAATATGTATTATAGACCTTAATGGTTTTCTAAATGTAGAAGTTTATTATATGGTTTAAGTCTGTATTTATTCAGAAAAATGCATTATTCTTATATTTACTTTCCCTGATGAGTCATTTGGCCTTCTTTTTAGAAACGTATATTGGTTATTCACATTATATCAACCACATGTATAAACAATTGAAGAAAGCCGTAAACAAAAAAAAAATTGCTCTGATCCTCACATAATTTATATTCTAGAAACAAAAGATACAGTTTAATAAATAAGTCAAATAATATGTACTTCATGACAGGAGATATTATCCATGTCAAAGTTTCATAAACAATCACCTGGATATGGCCATGCAATGCCAATATATGTATTGTGGAAATACAAGACCTTCTGTGTGAAAAAGAATTGAAAGGAATCCTGGACTCAAACGAATATGTAAAAAGTTTTTATAGAGTGTTAAGCAGGAGATGATTGTCATTTGAAATAACAAGTTATAGGTGGGAATGGAAAGAGTAAATAGACCAAGGAAACATTTGAGGGAAATATACTTTCTGATATTATATTTATGCTGCAAGGGAACAGAGAAAAGTAATAAATAATTATTTTTCAAATTTCTGGCTTAAAAATTTGTTAATCCAGCTCCTGATACAGGGGATATTAGTTAAGACTAACTGCTTTGGTTGCCAGGTAAAGAAATTCTACTTTGTCAGGAACAGCAGGAGTCAATATACTGTGGTCCACGGCCAAATTGATCTTGCCACCTGTTTTTGTAAATGAAGTTTAATTGCAACACAGCCATATCCATCATTGGAGCTTAATAGTTGCACCCAAACTGTATGTTCCATAAAAACCTAAAATATTTGCCATCTAGCCCTTTACAGAAGATGCTTACTGACCTTGGACTAAAACAGAACAGTAAAGTTCATGAGTGTTCACGTGTTTTCAGGTGTTCAGACAGTGTCATCCGGACTCTGCCTCTGCATCTTTCAGTTCTGCTTCAACATCGGCTCCTGCTTCAGTAGGCTGTGAAGGTGCTGCACTGAGACAACATTACCGTATCCATTTAGAATGAAAGGGAGTAAAGGTTGTCCAACATTTTTAGCAAAGTTCATGGAAGTCACTCTCTGTACTGAGTTCTGGATTTCATGGCGTCTGTGGAGTTATAGGTGGAATAAAGTCATTCGGACTGAGGATTTGGAGTCTCCAAAGGAAAATCATGGTACTATTATCACCCACACCTGATGTCCAGCATATTGGGAACATAGGAGAAGCATAAGGTCTTGGAAAGAGAAAACATTTTTAAATTTTAGTCAGAATGAGTTAAAAAGATACAGTAATTTAAAAAAATGAATACTCATGCAGAACGTATTATGAGCTAGATAAAGTTTTGGTCTTTGGAGAATTTTATCTATATTGACTGTATTACCTCTCACAATGCTGCTGTGAGAGACATATCTCCATTTTCAGATGAGAAAATTGAGGGAAACTGAAGATATTCAGAAATAATGGCAACCAACTAATACTATTTATTTACTATTTGCTAAATAATTTCCTAAATAAATTTTTAAAGTAATTATCTTCCCGGGCAATGCATAATTATTGAGAAGTCACTGTTATAAGCATCAAATGCCTAGCTATGTACAAAAAGACAAAGTATCTGCCATCTGGGAAATCATGCTACTATGACATGATAGTAAACAGGTAGAAAAAGTTGGCTTTCAGTACTTAAGTACCATCAGCAAAGTATGATGGGAGGCCTTCATTTTAAATGAATGCTGCATGTTCAGCCCAACTCCTTCTAAACATAACTGATACATGAATTGATATCATACTACATATTTCTGTTTTCGAGTATCAGCATAATTTTGAGTGGAGAAAAAATATACATACACCTTTATCTGCAGTGAGATGCTCCCTCTCTCTGTGTAAAGAAAATTGAAATAGAATTGTGTTGTTTTAGAAAAGCAAGATTAAGTTTCTTTTGTTTAATAAATGTAAATTATTTACTTATTGAAAGTAGGTAACGGGAAGATCATGATCACAGCTAATGATTATTGAGTCCTTGAAAAATACTGGATAGTCTTTACTTAAATCATCTTTAGATTAACTGGCATTATTATAAACCTATTTTACCAGCATGGAAATTCCTGTGGTCACCTGGCCCTTAGTGCACCATGTGCTGTATAGTCAGGATTTGAACCCAGTGAGATACAGCTAGAGCAGCATGCTTCCACTCACTGCACCATGATGCCTCCATAGAACCCCATGGTTTTCATTGGTGCTGCTTGTTCTCTTGTCTCAACTGTGAAAACATCTGAGACTTTGCAGCTGCCTCAGAGAAGTAGAAAGAAAATTGCAGTCCCTTTCCTGATACTACCAGGGATAGGAAAGTGACTGCAAACATTGAACACAATTTTAAGAGTAAGAAATGCTTGACTCACTGTTTCCTGAATCGCATAGTGCAGAATATGAATTCAGGCAGTGGCTGACTTTGTCCTCCACCTGTGTAAACAAGGCGGTAGACTCCAGGAGGGAATCTGAGATAATTTTAAAAATTTTTTTAATTATTAGTTTTGTAACCTGTGACACCTGTATGTGCAGTTTCTGTGGCCCTCTTTAACTCTAAATGGATTATGGAGCAAGTTGATAAATAATCCATCACTAGAAAACCGTTATGCAGAACAGGCCCATCTGTGAAAGAAAACAAAAATCAACTTCATTAATGTCTATGTTTTTGGAAAGGAAATTCTCCCTTATGCTTTTCACAGTTATGTAAATCTCAGGCACAAAAAAAGCCTTTTCATAAGTATTAGCATATACTTTTTTTAAATAATGAGAATGTTTTAAATGTTACAATTAAAATATAAGGAGACATAATAGTTAAATTTCAATAATACATGTATGTACAAAGTAGTACAAATCATATGCTGTAATAGATGGGAACACAGTAATTTGGTTCAGAGTATTTAGAGCATGTTCATTAATCTAGATTAATACATTGCATGTTTAATTTAGATAGAAATAACATTTTTATTTTATAATTATATAAGAACATAGCTATTTTTCAGATTTATACATTATTTTCTCAGAATCTGAAACTAAAATTTAGTTTTAGCTGTATTGTCACCTTGTTTTTTCTTTTCGGAGATATGTAGTTTAGGTCAGCTTAGTAATATCCAGAATTTACACATGTAAAACTTAGCAGGATTTTAAGATATACCGATATTCTCAAGAAAGTATGAAATAAATGACAAATTAATGAAAATTAATGATAAAATAATACTAACAATAATCATGGAGAGCACTGATCTTATTTTCCTTGAAATACCAAAGAATTGGCACAATGATGGGACTTTTTTTAGATTAAATGATCTAAATAATTGCTTCAGTCTTCCATTATGCTTTCCTAAACTAGATTCTTAGGACTTTATGATATGTGGTAGTTAAGAGTATACAGAGGGGAAGAAATCACATCCAGTAAGTTGTTTGCTTAACATACTTATCATAGTTCTCACTTATAAGCTAATTTAAGCAATTTTTTAGGTATACATATTCTAAGCTAAATCTAGCATAGCTTTATTTTCTGATCTCAAAGAAGATCTTAATTCCACTGAAATTATTGTTATCAATATCACTGTTTCATATGCTTGTTAATATTTAGATATTGTGATACCTACATACATACATACATATTTGATAAAATATAGCAATAGATATACCTAGAAATACATCTACCTTTTTTAATGAGGCTTTAGCTCATGGCAACTTGACCACAAAAAAAGGATGACTATAGTATCCATAGTCGCAATATACAGGAGTAATCCTACTTCATTGAAGTACCTTTATGAAAGGATAGCATTGTACTACATTAAGGGTCATAAATTATCATGATACTGATGAATGGATTTGTTAGAGAAAATAAGTAAAGTGGTATTTAGTATGTGAGAATCAGTTAGCACTCAAAATTTTATTTTTTTCACTAACTTCTATGAAACTTTCTATTGTTTTCTTCTGGGATTTGACTTCTCCATTTGGCGAGCTGTCATTTTGACAGGGGTTAACACCAAAGATCATCTTTCCGGAGGGCCATTTTACTGGCAAGCTTGAAGACAGCTGTGGTGGGATTTGCTTCACATTAAACCCAGTTTAGAGGAGAATGCAGAGTCCCCCAGGTATGCTGTTAAAGCAGGGCATGCCAAAGTAATATCTTGCTTGGTTGCCACTTTGAACTGCTTTCTCTTTATATTGTTGAAGCAGATTTTTTTCCCTCCGCCATTAAAGGTATTAATTGTAAGTGCTTGAGAAGCACTTGTCACAAAGCACCTCTGCTCCTACTCCCATTTATTTAGTTGTAGCTTTCAAAACATAGAGAAATAACTGTTTTTTTGTTTTTATATAACAGCACTTTAAAATGTTTCTTTTATGCTGTTCCTAAACAATGTCATAAAGTCATCTCCATTAGAGATCTTTCTGCTTATTTCAAACATCAAAAATTACCCATATGTGTTGAATAATTTTCACACTATATGAAAGCTTCACGTTTCCGTACAATTTTTCCCAACCTAGAATTTTGAATCTACATGGTTTAAGTAGCCCAGACCTTTGGTACCCAGATATGGATGAATTAATCATCAATGACTAATACATATTTTATATAGTTTGAATTTTATTAATTTGTATAATGAAGGGAACTTCAGCCTGTTGTATTCCATGGGAAATCAATCATCTTATGTACAGTGTTTACTTCCCAGCTTTGCAACTATAGTGGCTGGAAATGATAAAGTAGTTCCCAGAATTTCAGTGTTAATTACAGTGTAGTACATCATTGGGACCCTTGTTTTAGAAAAGAAAACCTTTTCAAGATTTGTATTACATTGCCATCTACTTGAAATGTAGTTTAATTGTATAAGAAATACATTTTTTTACAATTTTGATTTTGAGTATTTTCCTACTAAACTATATCAAAGATATTTAATGTTTTCAAAACATGTTTTTGTAAACGTGTTTTGAAAGAAATAAAGAAAATGAATCACCCTAATAAATATTTTAAAATTGTTTTAGATCTAGGATATTGTAGCTGTTATTGTCATACTCTGTCAGTTTTTATCTTCGGGGCCTCCAAGAAACTCATTTCCCAGTTTATGAGGAAGACCATTTACAGCTTCATCACTCAATTAGGAATTGCCCTCAACCACAGGAACCTGCATATGTCAAGAGTATGCCCATTGCGTGAATGCATCCTGAGATCCATTGTTGTCCTATGGTGGGGATACCAAAGTTGAACTCTTATAACTCTATTTGGAACTGTGTTGAAGGCTCATTTTAAGTCCAGAGCTGTTTATAGAATCAGCAGAATCCTCGATTGTCACCTTACTGTTTGGCAGCCTCCCCCTCTTGTCTAACCTTGCATTTCTCCCTTCCTTGCAGGTGTGTATCTCAAGAGCACTCCACAACAAAGATTCTGCCTGCAATCCTCCACTTCAAGGTCTGTTTCAGAAAACCTGTGTAACACAGTTATGCATAGAGTGGTCTCAGGAAGCTGACTCTAACATGAAAATTTAGATTTGGATCTTTTCCTGACATACTGAATATTCATAAGAGCATATGATACATTTGTCTACCATAAACATGTCATTTCAAAAAATCCTCAAAATTACCTTGTAGAACATAATTTTAAAACTAGTGTGTAGGAATATTTTGTATCAGTTATTCAGTCTTCTTAATATCTGAATCCAAATTAATCTTCCATTCTGCTTTTATTTATAAATAATATGATTTAGTGTCAGATTCAATAATTTATATTTTCATTTATTCTAAAGTAGGAAATGCCAGCATAAAAATAAATTATTTGAAACAAATCACATTGTTGTCCCATTTCACCATTACTCACATGTAGAAGATACTGTTTTTAACAAAACTAATAAGAAACAGAAACTACCATTTATTAACTCATGCTTACTGGAAGCATAGAAGGATTTTCTTATTTAACTTTCAATCAACTTTTTCATGAACATTTTTGTTATTGACAAATAAGTTTAATTTATCAAATCCTCACAGCAAATTATAGGTGCCATTATTAACAGATTTTTTTTTAAACATGATTCATAGAAAAGATTTAATGATATGGTTTGGATCTTTGACGGCATCAAATCTCATGTTGAATTGTAATCCCCAGTGCTGGAAATGGGGCCTGGTGGGAGGTGATTAAATTATGGAGGTGTAGTTCTCATGAATGGTATAGCACCTTTCCCTTGGTGCTGTCCTGTGATCGAGTTTTCATGACATGCGGTTGTTTAAAAGTGTGTGGCAGCTTTCCCATCTCTCTCTCTTGCTCTTCCTGCAGCCATGTGAAGGGCTGTTCCCCCTTTGCCTTCTGCCATGATTGTAAATTTCCTGAGGCCTCCCCAAAAGCTGAGCAGAAGTCAGCATCATGCTTCCTTAACAGCCGATGGAATTATGAGTCAATTACATCTATTTTCCTTACGAATTACGAGTCTTCAGGTTTTCTTCATAGCAGTGAGGAAATGAACTAATTCAGCTAGTAAATGACAAATATAAAAATAGCAAATAGCACAAGAAGATACCAGGCAAGACTAGGGGACTCCGGAACCTAAGGATTTCTGAAAGCATAGGTTTTTAAGAGTGTGGAGAAACTAAGTCTGGGACATGTTTAGGAACTCAATTACATAAGAAATAAAAATCATATGTAGACTATTTAAATTTAGAAGAGGAGGAGGAGAGGAGAAAGATGAGGAAGAGGAGGAAGAAGAAGACATTCTGGCTTAGCACATTTACTCCAGTCTATAGGGAAAGCTCAGTTATACCCCTTCCCCACTAACCTTAAGAGGAGCCCTAATGTTCGTAAGGGGCTTTCTCAAGGACTCAAATCCTCAGGGATACAAAATAGGGTGGGATACCGAGCAATAGAGGGGTGTGTGTGTGTGTGTGTGTGTGTGTATGTTAGACAAATAGATGAAAAATGTTATTTTGCAACATAATCATTTTGTTTGGAGTCTCTCTTTTTCTCTCAATTTTCTCTTTCTCTCCCTCTCTCTTTTTCTTTCTCACTTTCCCTTTGCAATACTAGTGAAGTAAGGCAAAATGAAATGAGCATGGGATCTTTCTCTAGCTTGATAGATCGTTTGTTATTATTTGTTTCTTCATTACAAACTGCCCTGTTAAACTTAGTTCATGGCTTAAAACAAAATAATTTGTCTTGTTCCTGAAACTGAACTTTGGGCAGGGCCTAGTGTGAAGGTCTCATCTCTGTCTGTGTCAATCGGGTCAGCTGAGGAAACTCCACTGGGGTCACAGGTATAATTTTCAAGACAGCTCACAGATGTGGGTGATGGATGCTGTCAGTTGGTACCTCAGCTGCAACTGTCATTCAGGAGCCTCACTTCCTTTCCAAATGAGAGTCTCTGCAGAACAGCTTATGTTCTCCATGGCATAGTGGTAGTATCCTAAAAGCAAGTCTTCCAAGGGACAGGAAATAGAAGATGCTAATCTCTCTCTCTACCCCCCCCCGCACACTTTAAGTTCTGGGGTACATGTGCAGAATGTGCAGGTCTGTTACATAGGTATACATGTGCCATGGTGGTTTGCTGCACCTATCAACTCATCACCTAAATTAGGTATTTCTCCTAATGCTGTCCCTCCCCTAGCTCCCAATCCCCCAAAAGGCCCCAGTGTGTGATGTTCCCCTCCCTGTGCCCACAGGTTCTCCTTGTTCAACTCCCACTTATAAGTGAGAACATGCAGTGTTTAGTTTTTTTTCTTGTGTTAGTTTGCTGAGAATGATGCTTTCCAGCTTCATCCGTGTCCCTGCAAATGATATGAACTCATCCTTTTTTTTTTTTTTTTTTTTTTTTTTTTTTTTTTTACAGCTGCAGAGTATGCCATGGTGTATATGTGCCACATTTTCTTTATCCAGTCTGTCATTGATGGATATTTCGGTTGGTTCCAAGTCTTTGCTGTTGTGAATAGTGCCTCAGTAAACATACGTATACATGTGTCTATATAGTAGAATTATTTATCAACCTTTGTGTATACAGTCAATAATGGGATTGCTGGGTCATATGGAGTTTCTAGTTCTAGATCCTTGAGGAATCACCAAACTGTCTTCCACAATGTTTGAACTAATTTACACTGCCACCAGCAGTGTAAAAGCATTCCTATTTCTCCACATCTTCTCCAGCATCCATTATTTCCTGACTTTTTAATGATCACAATTCTAACTGGCATGAGTTGGTATCTGATTGTGGTTTTGATTTGCGTTTCTCTAATGACCAGTGATGATGAGCTTTTTTTCATATGTTTATTGGCTCCATAAATGCCTTCTTTTGAGAAGTGTCTGTTCATATCCTTGTCCACTTTTTGATGGGATTGTTTTTTTTTTCTTGTATATTTGTTTAAGTTCCTTTTTTTTATTATACTTTAAGTTCTAGGGTACATGTGCACAACGTGCAGGTTTGTTGCATATGTATATTAGTGCCATGTTGGTGTGCTGCACCCATCAACTCTTCAGTACCCATCAACTCATCATTTACATCAGGTATAACTCCCAATGCCTTCCCTCCCCCCTCCCCCCTCCCCCCTCCCCCTTCCCCATAATAGGCCTCAGTGTGTGATGTTCCCCTTCCAGAGTCCAAGTGATCTCATTGTTCAATTCCAACCAATGAGTGAGAACATGTGGTGTTTGGTTTTCTGTTCTTGCGATAGTTTGCTGAGAAGTTCTTTGTAAATTCTGGATATTAGCCCTTTGTCAGATGGATAGACTGCAAAAATTTCTCACATTCTGTGTGTTGCCTGTTCACTCTGATGATGATTTCTTTTGCTGCACAGAAGCTCTGCAGTTTAATTAGATCCCATTTGTCAATTCTGGTTTTTGTTGCCATTGCTTTTGGTGTTTTAGACATAAAGTCTTTGGCCCATACCTATGTCCTAAACGGTATTGCCCAGGTTTTCTTCTTGGATTTTTATGGTTTTAGGTCTTACATTTAAGTATTTAATCTATGTTGAGATGATTTTTGTATAAGGTGTAAGGAAGAGCTCCAGTTTCAGTTTTCTGCATATGGCTAGCCAGTTTTCCCAACACCTTTTAAATAGGGAATCTTTTCCTTGTTGCTTGTTTTTGTCAGGTTCATCAAAGATCAGATGGTTGTAGATGCGTGGTGTTATTTCTGAGGGCTTTGTTCTGTTCCATTGGTCTGTATATCTGTTTTGGTACCAGTACCATGCTGTTTTGGTTACTGTAGCATTGCAGTATAGTTTGAAGTCAGGTAGTGTGATGCCTCCAGCTTTGTTCTTTTTGCTCAGGATTGTCTTGGCTATGCGGGCTCTTTTTTGGTTCCATATGAAGTTTAAAATAGTTTTTTTCCAATTCTGTGAAGAAAGTCAGTAGTAGCTTGATGGGGACAGCATTGAATCTACAAATTACGTCAGGCAGTATGGGTATTTCCATAATACTGATTCTTCCTATCCATGAGCATGGAATATTTTTCCATTATTTGTGTGCTCTCTTATTTCCTTGAGCAGTGGTTTGCAGTTCTCCTTGAAGAGGTCTTTCACATCCCTTGTAAGTTGTATTGCTAGGTATTTTATTCTCCTTGTAGCAATTGTGAATGGAAGTTCACTCATGATTTGGCTCTCTGCTTGTCTGTTATTGGTGTATAGGAATGCTGGTGATTTTTTCACATTGATGTATCCTGAGACTTTGCAGAAGTTGCTTATCAGCTTAAGGAGATTTTGGGCTGAGATGATGGGGTTTTTCTAAATATAATATCATGTCATCTGCAAACAGAAGCAATTTGACTTCCTCTTTTCCTATTTGAATACCCTTTATTTCTTTCGCTTGCCTGACTAGCCTGACTAGGACTTCCCACACTGTGTTGAATAGGAGCAGTGAGAGAAGGCATCCTTGTCTTCTGCCAGTTTTCGAAGGGCATACTTCCATTTTTTGCTCATTCAGTATGATATTGGCTGTGGGTTTGTCATAAATACCTGTTATTATTTTGAGATAGACTTCATCAATACCTAGTTTATTGAGATTTTAGCATGAAGGGCTATTGAATTTTGTTGAAGGCCTTTTCTACATCTATAATCAGGTGGTTTTTGACATTGGTTCTGTTTATGTGATGGATTACATTTATTGATTTGTGTATATTGAACCAGCCTTGCATCCCAGGTATGAAGCCGAGTTGGTCTTGTGGGTAAGCTTTTTGATGTGCTGCTGGATTTGGTTTGCCAGTATTTTATTGAGGATTTTCACAATGATGTTCATCAGGGATATTGGCCTGAAATTTTCCTTTTGTGTTGTGTCTCTTCCAGGTTTTGGTATCAGGATGATGCTGGCCTCATAAAATGAGTTAGGGAGGATTCCCCCTTTTTCTATTGTTTGGAATAGTTTCAGAAGAAATGGTGCTGCCTCCTCCTTGTAACTCTGGTAGAATTTGGCTGTGAATCCGTCTGGTCCTGGGCTTTTTT